CCTATATGGATGACCAATTGATATAAAACAATACATTAAAAACATTCTTCTTTTCCTACTCCACTTGTTGAAAATCAGCAAACTATATAAGTATGGGTCTAATTCTGGGTTCTCTATTCTGTTTTATTAGTTTCTAATTGACTATTCAGGTGCCAAAACCACACTTCCTTAATTACTAAGGCTTTTTAATGTCTTAATGTCAAGTACTATAATCTCTTACATTTTAATCTTCAAAATGGTCTTTTGACCCTGACCAGTCCCATAAAGAAAGCAGGGATTTCAATTGGAATTATATTGACTCATTTGGTAAAAATGAAGTTTCAAAGGAACAAACAGCCCAACCCCTACCTCAAAATAAAAAATAAAAACAGTCTGGGGATGTAGTTCAGCAGGAAGGCCCTGGGTTCAATCTAAAGTACTGCCAAAATAATTCCCAAATCTCTCTCTCTCTCTCTCTCTCCCTCTCTTTCTCTGTCTCTCTCTGTCTTATACACACACACACACACACACACACATACACAAGCATACATGTACACTATTGTTTATTATGCATATATATAAAATTTTAAGTTTTGAGTTTGAGTTGATAGCCTCTAAACTTTGAACATTGTTGCATTTATTTAATAAATTCATTGTAATTCAAAAATTTTTCAATGTGTATAATTATACTATGAATATGAGCAGTTGAACAGTTTTATTTTCATGACATATTTTATTTACTTCTATTTTCTACTATACTGCCTAAAACCTTTAGTATATTACAAAGTCAGCAATAATGTATGTTTGTTTTCTTTCTGATCTTAGGGAGAAAGCTTTTAATATGTTATTATTAAACTATACTTAAATTCCACTTAAACATGACAATTGTTATAGTAGTTTTCAATAATTTCTGATCAGATTAAAGATTATTCTGTTTCTGAGCCAGGAGTACAGTATTCAAAAGATAGATAAATCAACTTTTAGGATGAGCAGGTAGATTGCCCATAAGAAGTTCTGGAAATGTTATTCTAATATAGCTTCCAATGCTAAGCGACACATAGGGAAATAGTAAATATGCCCATGACAAAGAAGTAGAAAAAAGGATGAAAGAAGGGTCACTAAAAACATAAGAGGAATTTATTCTTTCTTTTCCATTAGCCTCTCAACTGCTTTGATTCGTCTTGACATTTTCTTTTTTCTCCTTAATTTCCTCTGTAGAATGCAGTTCACATATGTCCTTGGTAAACCGAATAGATAAGCATTCTTCTCATTATTTTACTGTTCTTTTTAGCTGGGAAACTACTTTTCATGTGCATGCTGGGTGAATAGAGACCAGATTAGCTGATATTGTTCCCTGATGCAGTGCAGCGTGCAGCACTTGGTTTCATAGCTAAGGCAAAAGGTAATCTCTCCTGTTTTCCTACTCCTTTCTGGAACATTCTGCCTCATCCACTCATGTTTCTAGCAACAGCTGTGCTGCTGGAGTTGCAGTGATTAACATGATATTGAACCGTTCTCCTGGAACCCTCCAGCACCGCCTCTCACAGGACATCTGATGGATCTCTACTTCACAGATGGTTTATCCATACATCAAGGTATAACTTGCTGTTCTGTTTCCATCTCTCCTGGCTATATTGTAGAGAAAATGAATCTTCAGGTCATATGATAGATGTTTCATCTTTGTGAACGTAAGTACTCATAATGAATCTTTATAATATTAGCTGTACACTGAACCAGCCCTATCTTGAATTCACTTTGAGACCCTATAACTCTACATCTGCTTGAGCTTTCCTAGGAAAAGCTCAGCGTTATTTATTTTCTCTGTGTATATTCGTGGCATATTTCTGCCTAGAGGAAGAGCAAATCAATAAGTTCTACAGTTTTATTAAGTTTCTTAAAGAGCAGAATATCTGATCTGTTGGCTGGAGTTGGTTAATCACCATCGTGTATAAATTTATCTTAGGATAGTGGTTTTCCCATGTGTTTTTGAGTTGTCATTAGTAAGAGTGTTGTCTAACTTCTTAACCTTTTTAAAGAAATCATTACTCATACCTACATGGCAGTGTTTTTTGGTGTAACCCCAAATAGCCAAAGTTAAAGAATATTTTACTATTTATAATGTTTTGAGATTTTAGTCTGCCACATATCATTCTCATTTGTTTCTTTCTATGAGTTGAACTGTGGAAATCTTAGCTGTCACTCAACCGATCTCAGTTTTCAATAAAAATCAAGTGAAATCACATGACACGTATCCAATTTCACTCTAGTAGTGAGAATCATGTACACAGATTTGGAGACAAGATGAAACAAGCTGTTGCCAAGTTACAGTGATCTACTGGGGAAAATTATCCAGTGCCTTGGACAAAGATTCCAACCTTACCTAGACTCCCAGTGTTTCAGGGAGTCCTTTGCCACGTATCTAGTCAGGTGCTTCTCCCTTTTATCTCCACAACTGTTGTGAACTTTGAATACTCTCTCGGGTTTCTTTCTTTTGCCTCATTTCTTCTTGCTCTCAACATAAAATCTTACCTTCATATTCACTCAAAAGAATAAGAACATAAATATCTTACTCCCCAAACCACCAACAAAATGCATTTCCACCCATGCTTCACAGTCCTTGGGACCTCCCATGAAAGCCTGTCTTCCCTGCAGTCAAAGGGTTATCTCGTCTCTCTCTCCAGCCACTTGCTTTGGAGCTTTTCTCTGGCTTGGCAGAAACCTTGGGTCATTAGCCATTCACTTTCCTTTCTCTGCATTCTGTTTGTTCGCTTCAGTATGTAAACATAGTCTTTCACGATGTTTCCTGTGACTCTACATCACCCTCTAGCTACTGTTCAGTAGAGTTTCCCTCTGCAGCCAAGCTTGAAAAAATACCTGTATTTATCAATTTCCTTCCTTGGTGGCCACTGAGTGCTCACAATTTAGTTCTCATTTTCAGAACAGTAATGAAATTATTTCTACCAATTAACATATTACTAGATCCAGGCATTTGCTTCATTTTCTTTAGTTATTTGGCACTGTGAACAATCCCTTTCTTAAAATCTTTCCTCTTTTGACTTGTATCACGTTTTTCTTCTCTATTTTACTAGTACGTCTCTTGATACTTCTTAGTCTTCTTTGCTGTGCCTTTTTCTTGCAGTCTCTTTAAAATGAGTGTTCTCAAGATTTCTTCTCTACCTTGGGCATATTTTTCATGCTGGCTTTCACAATTACTTTTATATGATTGACTTATAAACCTTTTTACACATCTCATTCCTTTCTGAGAGTTTCAAACTCTTATTATTCACTTGAACTCAACATTTGCCAAATTAGTCTCACTATCCTTGTTTGTAAGCAGCCTACTTTGGGATTCATCCAAACAATAGCACTCTGGGCGCCAGCAGGAAACTTAGTCATTACTGACTTTTCTCGCCTCAATTAGCACATCTTCGTATGCTGTCTCCTAAACATAGCATAAGTCTCATTTTCATTATTATTACTTTATTTTACCTAATGCCTATAGATAGCTTTCTAGCTAAGCTTGTTTTTCGTTAGCCTTTGTGAAACCTAGTACATTCACCATGGTTAGATTTATTCTTCTAACATGTAGATTCGTATTAATTTTTCAAAAATGTATCCATTGTTCTTATGCAAGCCCAATAAAAATTATGACTTTTAAAATGGCTTTAACAAGTTGACTTTGAAGCTGATATAGAATGACAAAGAGCTAAGAATAACACAATGTTCTTTAAGAAGGATAGGGTAGAAAGACCTGCCTTGTGATATCAAGAATTACTCTAATGCCATAATCAAGGCAGTGTATTGCCTCAGAAAAACCAATGAATGATGCATAACCAAAATCCCAGGAGCAGAACCTTTCATGATGGAACTATGATCTTTAGTTTGCTTCTTAGGTGCAATGGGAAGATCATAAAGTAAAAATACCATTCAGTATTTTAAGTAGGTAGACTTGAAAGAAGGAAAATAAGTCTAGATTGTTGAAAAGATGGAAGGACAAAGGTTTGGGACATGAGAATGTCAGTTAACTTTATGATTCACTGACACTGTCTATCAGAAAATTTACTCAGAGGTCACTCCCTGTTGAGGTCTGATAGCACCCTAAACTGTTGCCTCATAGCTCTTGACTGGTATGAGAATATAGATTTTATCTGGGTCCTGGCAAACCTCACAACTCTTCAAGTCTTGTTTCCCTGCTTTTGTGGCTGGTAGTGAATTATTTCTATCTCCCTGCTGTCTTCCAAATTTGTATTAGAGCATGTCTGTGACCTCACTCAATCTTATCTGAAACCTTGATAGCAAAGAAATTCCAAAAATGCAATTCCTAGGGGCCGACTCTTGTGAGACAGAGGATTGCAGAGAAAGGAAATCTGTGTGTACCAAAGGTCGTAGAAAATGTGTGGTAAGAGGCCACCAAAGTTCAGCGGAGAAAGGAGCAACTGCTCAGCAACCAATGGTAGGACAGCTAAGTAGCCTAACTCAGAGTAAACTTCAACAGACAGGACTTTTACTAAGAGGAAAACTTCAGGAAGAAAATATAGGAGATTATATTTCCAGTTTTGTGATAGTTTCATTCAGCAAAATACAACTTGTAGCCACAAAAGAAATAATTAGCTCAACTATATTAAATGTAATAACTCCTGACTATAGAAAAACACCATAAAGAAAATAAAAAGACTAAAATAGTAGAACATATTTGTTACACATATTACCAACAAATGTTTAAACACTTCACATGGAAAATGACATGTATGTGTATGGCCAATAAACATAAAAAAATTTAATGTCTTCAGAAATCAAAAAGTAAAAGTCCTCAGTGGAAGTATTTTATTTACAATATTGGTCAATAGTGAAAAGTAAAAATTGTCATCCTTCACTTCCCTTTGGCATCCACTATATCGTTGTATGTTTCATCTCCAAAGTGTATTCTGAATCAGCTTTTTCATTTTCATTCCTTTGATCTCAATTCAATAGTACTGGAGAGAATAGAAATCAACAGGAATCACCTTATTTTTCTGCTGGTATGTTATATGAAAGGTGAGTGCCAGCTGCAGGTATTGTGTTGACCTGAGCTGTCAGAGTTCCTTTACAGTATACTTGCATACAATTGATGATCCTTGGCCACAACCTGTTACAGTCTGTGGAAACATGCTTGGAATTCTTCAAAAATAGTAATGGAAAGCTATGCAGGAAAGCATTGGTTTGCAAGCCTAATTTATTCCAGAAACACATGTGTAATCCAAATCACTTGTACAACAAAGCAAATTGTCCCATAAAAATTAATGGAAATCCAGATGATTCCTTTCACAACCCAAAAATATTCATATAAAATGATCACAATATTGTAATTCAATGCAAAATAATAATGAAAATACAAACTATTAAAAGAAAAAGAAAGAAATTTACCAGTATTTGTCTTTGAAAACCTTCAAGGAGGTGTCAGGAAGACAGAAGGAAGGTTATTGTGTAGGATGACTTTCACTATCACTAATGGAATCACTACTGTCCATTGGCTCACTGGAATCTTGTTATTTCATGAAGATTTCATAAGAAATCTCTCCAATGGCACTTGCTTTTGCCTCCTTTTGAAGATTTCAGGGAAATGTGATGTTTCATTGGTGTTAAACAGACTGATCAATTGTGAGGCTGCAGACTTATTTGGGTGGTGAATTTTTACAAAATTTTGCAGTTTTCCACATTTTACGCATCTCTCTAATCTTATTTGAGGTTTCTCCATCTTTTTCTCCTCTCTAGATGTGATCTCCTGCAAAACACTTGGTTTGGAAGACAATCACTCACCAGCCTGCAGTAAGTGAGAGACAGAAAAAGGGACAGAGATATAGAGTTATAGAGGTTGAGACAGAGATAGACATAGAAATACAGAGAGATAGAGATAGACATAGAATTTCTGGCTCAGTTGGGATCACGTGACATTTGTCATCACATACTACTATTACAAGACATTACTTGTTAATTGAGTTAAAACTTATTAGAAATGTTTGCTTGCCCTGCAGAACAGTTGCAGAAAATGTAACTTGCAATCCATGGTTTTACTGTATTAAAAAATTGTTTTGTAAAACAACTTGGTGTTCTCTTAGAAATCTAACCTTAGAAACAGTCTAAAATTCAATAATCTCAGAGAAATAATGTATCTCTCTTGGTGTCATAACAACCAATGTGTAATAGTGAATTGGAATTCTTTAGAACTCATTATCAAGAGAACAACTGCATAAATTGTATTACATTTACACAATGAGATATTACATACCATTAAAAATGAATAATCCATAGCTGCACACAATAGTATATAAACATAAAAATCAAGAGTTAAGTTCAAGAAAAGTTTTAAGAAACATAAATAATATGATATCATTTAGATAATTCTCAAACACATAAAAATTAAGCAATATGTTTTCTACGTATGTGCATTTAATACAGCTATTTTTAAAAAGCAAAGTACATATGTACACAAAATTTATATTGTGCTACTCTCTGACTTGGGGAAGTGTGGTGAAACGAGAGGAGACAGTGCAATGCATAGATAGAGGCATCTTGTTTGTGTTTTTTTTTTAGTAGGGTTGTAAATTCATGAGAGTTTAATATATTATTATACTTTATAACACAAACATATATTAATAAATCTTTTTGCACATGTCAGACATAATATTAAAATACATGAAAAAGTTATCTATATTTTACAATGCTACAATGTTTAAGAGTAACCTATAATTTTCCCTAAAATCTCTTTTACTCTTTGTGTTTCAGTAAATAAATCATGATATTGAAGAAGACCTGTTTCTTATCTAGCATTTATCAATATCATACATGCGGCCACACAGTTTACTAACACATTAATTTTCATTCAATGTCAGAATGCCTTACCGCTTATCAAAACACCAAATAAACTCTCTGGTTTACTTAACAGGAGAAAATATAACATATAGCACCTGGGGGTTTTATGTGCCAGTGTTCAGCCTGGGAAATAAACCTGTAAAAATGACAAAGTAGAATCACGATCAATCACTGTGGCCTTTGGGATTTCTTTTGAAATCTTAGTACATTTCACTTTTGGAGGTAGGGAGAAACCAAAGCAAATGAAACAAAAGAGAAAATCATTCACTGTCTCTTTTTCTATTCCTCCTTTTTCCCCTGACTACTTTTAGGCTGAGTTTCCCATGCTTTAGCTTTATACACCAGGCTCTCCTGTTGGGATTTCTGATGTTTCTCCCTGTCTGACCTCATCCTCCTATCACATCTGTGATCTCCATCTGCTCATGTCCTGCTCATAAGCCAAACTTCACTTCCTGTGGATCCCTGAGTAGGTCATGCTCTTTCATGTCTCCCTGCTTTTTCTCAGGCTCTTTGTTTTTCCTGGAAATCCCATCCTATCAGTCTTCTCCTCAGTGACCTCTAACTAGAAAGTCTTGCTCGACTCTTTAATCTAAATCTCCCTGAGTTCCTCATGCATAAATTGCTGCTGGTAGTTACCACATTCCCAGAAAAGTTAATTTCACTGTCTTCTTCATTGAGCTTCAAGCTCTTTGGGTTAAAACATAATATTGCATATTTAAAAAAAAAATATACCGTGCTACTCCATGCTTATAACAGTGCTTTATAAAATCTGAATAACATTAACTGCATCAACAAGTAATGGTAAATATCATTTTCTGTCTAAGTTCCTTCACTGTCTTGAGCACTCTTCCACAACCTGGTCTTGCAAGTACTCTTCTCTAGGCAGGCTCCGGGGCAGGCACACTCTTCTCACTCTTCATCAGGTTGGTTCTTGAATCACTCCAAGAACCCTTCTGACTCTCCACAGGGAATGGGTTTCTTCTCTATCTTCCCTATCACCACGTATTGGCATTGTACATTCACTTTGACTTATAACATTCTTTGAATAATTTTGCTTTTCTCACCAGACTGACTGTAAGCACCATGAAAAAAGACACCAGATCTACCTATGTTCATTATTAATTTTATATTATATGATACGGTAGACTTCCAATATGCTTTTGATGACTGACAGAGTGACTGAGCCCTGATAGAATTCAGGGTATAAGGGTCATATCTAGTGGGCTGCTAACGGATGCTCACCTCAATGCATTATTACCAGAATACCTGTGCAAGAGGATGCGGCCCTGTTCAAAGACTTCCTGAAGGAGACAGGAGGATGGAGAAGATAGCAGGATACTTGTTACACGTACTACTTTTCCTTCCTTTCCCATAGACTTCCCTTTGAGTCTAAAATCTTATAAGCAGAAGGCAGTGAAGTTATATTCAAGAGGGCAGCTGAGATAATGAGATATACTCTATTGCAGGCTGGATGACTAAATCACAGAAGCTGGGGATGGGGAGGAAAATTTCTGTCTCTGCTGAGTCTCCTGTGGTGCTTTTGCTTCAAGGTGAGCGAATGGCAGAATCCAGGGCACCGTTGGCCTGGATCCATTGTTCCCTGTATGACATCGGTCTCAGTGCTAGCAGCCAGGCACTGCACCCAGATGGCTTTTGGAAACTATCCATTAACAGTAAAGAGGTGCTGGAGGGAAGGAAAAACATTGTTCTCAAGACCTGTAGGCCATATTTCATGCATGTAGACTCTAACACAGTGGAAATGGAGAGTTTTAAAATTTTTATGTTGACTCTATAGGTTGCTGCAACTTGGTAAAATCAAGAAATGCCTCTGTAGTTCTGCTTGTTCCCAACTAGGAATTTGTTTCTGAATTATTTGAAGTTTTATTCTAGCTGTGGTCTCCAGACTTAATCTTTCAAGATGTGTTTACTGACCAATTTGCATACTTTATAGTTTGACTTGTAAAAGGGACCTTTCTGTTTGACCATCTGGAAGTGCAGAAAATTTTAATGCTAATTGTTCCCCTTCCCTATTCCGTTTTGTGATTGTTTCAGCTTTCAGCCTTTGGTGATACAGAAGACCATTATTAATATTTCATGTTACATAATGGCCTCTAGGTCTTCATTAATTAGCTTATATTGGCAAATGGATATATTAAATATGGGAGAGCAAAGGCATTTATTGCTGCAACCTTTTTTTAACCTGAATTGGGTTATATTTTTGGGATTTTCTCTACATCAAGGCAAATTTTATTTTTAAATCTTTAATTACTTTACCTTAACCCTTCATTGTGATTGTCACTCATGTCTACATCCTACAAACAAGGGCCCTGTTTTCTGGATGCACCTGAATGATCAGAAAGCACCATGCTGTACACAAGGGAACTTGTAGCTGGTCTTGGCTCTTCTAGTGAGTTCCTCGGTCTCAGACTAATGAAGGTGATAAGCAGAATATACTCAAACAAAGAAAAAAGAACTACTGCAAAGTGGTAAGGAGGTCAGTACAGGCATTCAATAACACAACAACAATAGCAAAATTAGCACAGGAAGGCTAGAAAAAGATGATACATATCAAGCGAAAAAAGAGGCTGGATAGGGTCATCCATAACTGGGGAATTTCTGCAGGGTTAAGTGGCTCAGGAGAATCCTGTTTTTTCTTTTTTATTTCATTTTAAAGAGAATAAAGCCAAACAAAATGAAACAGAATAAAGCTAATCAGAACAGAACAATGAAAACAATATAGGACTTCAAAACAAGATAATAGGACATGAACAATGGCTACCACAATGTCTCTTGTTTTCTTCAAAATAGCTGTCCACACTATCAGACATAATAAAATCAAACAAAACAAAACAGAATAGAGCCAATCAAAACAAAACAATGAAAGTGTCAATAATGGCATCATAATATATCTTGTTATCTTCAAAATAGTTGCTCACCCTATTAGACATAGTAAAACTAAACAAAACAAGACAGAATAAATCCAAAGCTAACAAGACTGTGAAAACAATGCAGAAATTCAAAGCAAGACAATAGAAAACTGACAGTGGTTACTAGCTTCCCTTTTTAGATGTTTGCTTCCCTATCACTTTCACGGTATCTATTGCACATATTGGATTCTACTAAGTCCTTCAGTTTTTTATGCTAAGGAGATAGCACAATATTTACCCATGTGAATCTGAACCATTGCACCCATGAGCATGATCTCAGGTTGCAGCCATTTACTTACAAGAGCTTCAAGATCACCTTACTTTATAGCCTAGTAGTTTCCATTGTATAAAAACATCGTATCTTTCTTTTCCATT